CAAGATGTAATTTGCAGCACAAATTAGATATGCATTTGTACTACAACAGGGGTTAATTTGAGTTAATTTGAGTGATAACTGAACATATGAATGTGTACAATCTGTAGTCAAGAAGTCAGATGTTTGTTTTATGGTATTCTTGTTGTTTGAATGCTGTGGCCAATCAGGTTGCATGCAGGTGAAATGTCTGTGTCGAGACTGCTGAAATGCAACTGATTGATTTAGTTTTTATGAGCATTTTAAAAAATGTGTCTGGATTTCTAAGCAAAGACTGAAATCATGGTCCCCCAATATCTGGCTGGCTCTACCTGAAGTCCCAATAAATTGGCTGCTTACCCCAGAGGCTGATTTATTTTACTATAACACTGTAGAAAACGACTGCACAGGAGTCCCATCGTGTAAAAACCCAGCATTTTTTCACTAGGAATGGCAGAAAAATATGTCATGTACAGAAACCGTCCAGATTTAAACTGCATTTAATAACTTTACAAATAATATTTTTCTTTAAATGAATTCAATATCTCTAAAATATTTTGCCACTAGTTCAGATTAGTGCCTTTACTTCACTTTGGCAATCGTTTTAAAAAGAGAAACATGTACGACTACTATAAGGCACATGCTTCTGCCAAATGGCATATGTTACCATAAAGCTAACAGCCTTGATAGTGTGACAGGGAGCAGCAAAAGAGCTGATGCAGGGGTCTGTGTTCAGCTGGTGTTCCAGCATTTTTAAAGGAGACCTATTGTGCTCATTTCCAGCACCATATGTTTATTCTTACACTCTCCTAGAGCAGGTTTTTCTAATTGACTTTTCAAAATAATCCTCGGTGCAGCAGCTGAGTTCATCATCTGTCTGATTTGGGACATTTTAAGACATCCTCCCCCTTTAAGGTCATCATCTCTTTCTTCTGATTGGCTGCCTCTCCCACCTGTGGATGGGGGTCATTGTGCTCTGGGTCAGAGTTAGAGTTAGTTAGTCAGAGCCCGAGATAAGAATATTAGGGATATTTGAATTCACTGATATCATGCAGAGCTGAAAAGAGACAAATATGAAGTATTTTGAAATCAAACTTTTAGAGAAATCAGAACTTTGCCCCATTTGACCCCATATTTGACATACACATCCATCGTTTTAACAAGGACAAACTTAAGGTCTCATTATATATTAAAAACGAGGTACAATTTTTGGCATTCATACTTGAAAACACAGAAAACTGTTGAATTTCTTGATCAGCTGTGGATTTTCTAAAGCTCTGAATTGTCATTATTTGAGGTGTATATTCTACACGTTGTGACATGAATGCATAAAATCATGTTGTGATATTATATGATGCAATTGTACAGTGTAGGAATAAAACATAATAACCACTTAGCTTTTAAATATGAAGTAAAAAAAGAAATTATTTCAACATATATTTTGTTACATGAAGTATTTTCATATGAGTGAATTTGAAGCATGTACACTGTCTATGATTTGCTTTTGGACATACGGATGAATTTTAGCCAGCATGCAAAGGATGAACATAGCTTTTAGTTTTGAAAAGTGGAAGTCTTAAAAAATATTTAAAAGAAACCTAAGTAAACCTATGTACTAAGCACTTTGTCCACATGAGATTAAGTGTATCTAAGTGATGCAGACTGGGCTAAAAGATGAACTTCCCAGTGCTCTAGTGAGAATTTGCAGGCAGAGAGCTGTTGGAATACTCTCAACACGAGGCGAACTAACTAGATTTTCATTAGCTTGCAATAGTATTCAAGTTTATTATCAAAATTTAGCTAAAAATGCTATAAATAAATAGAAACAGCAACTCCTAACTACTATCCCAAGTTCACAGATGTGAAGAACATGATTATTATTCATTTTTAAACTACAGAAGAGCACTTTCAGGCTTAAAATTGTTAGCTCCGGGCTATGGATGATATTACACTCATTATCAAGGATTTCCAAGTTGCCAAAATGCGTTACAATTTCTGCAGTGTGTTATTTTATACACACACAACTACAACGTGTATGTTCACAGGTGCATTGTTCAGTAACATATTTATGTCTTAGTCGTATTACAGATCTGTCACTCATTGCTTGGACAACCTAAAAATAAAGAGGGCTCTGCACTCACACAAAGAACGTAGCTAACTGAGAGTTTGCTGCTTGAATGCAGTGTGAAACATCTTCCAGCACAGTGTCTGGTTTTTAGCAGGGTGTTGGCATGTATGGCTTCTATAGTCAACTGTATCTTTAACATGTGGCCTTGGATAAGTATGGGATAGAAATCGGCTTTAGTTAGCAGCATTAAGTTTAGCTTTGAGCCAGTGTCAGCTAGGTGCATCATTTATCATCAGCCTGACATCCAAGTGTCCTAGAACACGGCCTGTATTGGGTCAAGGCATTTTGGCCATTTGGGATCATTTGCACTGCCACCCTCCATTTTGAGCAGATTTTATTTATATTATGAACCAGGGCAGAAACAAGCGAATATGCTGCCATCATTTCCCAATAACGGTAGGAATTGTCAATAAATAGTTGAATTTTCAGGGTTTTTTGTGTGTGAATGTTTTATATTTCATCTCACAGATGTAGACTAAATTTTATAATAGCAAATTAGTTATGAATCCATCTTTAAATTATATATTAACATGTTGTACATAAATATAGCAGAAAACAATCATTTGCTATGTGAAGACATGGCGTTAATAGAGATTACACACCCATTCTGTATTTGTTGTAATCTAAGCTTTAGTGTTGCATGTTTTAGGTTTTAGTGTACCAATGTATCATGTGTTTACCATGAAAGTGCATGGCAGCGCCTTCTCTTGAGACTGCCGGCACTCCTCACATTCATGATGTGAATAAATCAATTTTATTTTCACTGCACTGCAGCTCTGAAAGTTTGCAGACATTGTCAGACATTCACGGCGCAGAGCTATATGTAAGAACGCAAATGTCCAATTTAGATGGATGGAACATTAAATGGACCTTACTCTGCATAGGCAGGATAGAATAGAAAGCACAAGTCGCTACAAGAAGACTAACTAGTAGAAATCTTATAAGAGGATGGGGCTGGGCATGGAGGACCGATGGGGTAGTGGATAGTCAGTTTGGGAAGGCTGGGGAGGGATTCTGGGTGGAAGTTTAAGTGGCACCTCCCTTTGGCAGTGGAGCAGCACTCTTACTAGTCCATGCAACCCTGAGGGTGAGGATGTACACAATGCTTTTGTCGGACAAGAAAGGAATTTCACTTCACGCCGGCACTCCTCACATCCATGAAGTGAATAAATCAATTTTATTTTCGCTGCACTGCAGCTCTGAAAGTTTGCAGACATTATCAAACATTCACGGGGCGGATCGCAAATATCCAATTTAGATCTATGTCCATATACCATTTGCATGGTCACTTTTACAGTGTCTGATTTATCTCATGTGACAAAAATAGTAGAATGCTATGTTTAGTGTGTCCTGTATAATCTACCCATCGCATAAACCAAACTGGAGTATTTCCACTGGTGAGAAAGTGTTTCACAATGACAATCTCCAGGTATTCAAATTGGATTTGCCAAATTTTGTGTGAGGTTCATGAGAGAAAACAACTAAAGAGTGACACCCCGTGAAGCCAAAACAAAAATAAGAGCAGTCAAAATTAGTGCGGTTTTTCAGAGATGAAGCTGCAACACTCACACAGAAATAGTACAAAAAAATTAAATTTAAAACATACAGTTACAAAGGGTTTCACAATCTGGATAAAATACACACATCTAGTGCACACACACACACACACACACAAAAGCATTTATTCTTACATGCCTGCTTAAATGCAAACAAACGTGCAGGGCACACGTCCAGTCAACCCGATGGGCTAAAACACAAAAACCAGAGGTGCTAAAATCTCCAATCTGTGTGCTTGATTTAAAATAAGTGCATGAAACACTTCAAAGGTGAATCAACAAGGCCGACTGCTATAATATTTAAGCAGGGGCCAGCACATGCAATGCTCTGAATGTGATTAATGCAATTTGTAGACAGTTTATTGTAGACTTTAATGTACAATATCAATATACTGACTGTGCTCAGAAATTAGGTCAAATATTAATTGTACTCTTAGTTATTAACTGTTTATTTCAGTTAAAGAAAACACATTCAATACATTTGGAAAAGTCTCATTCTGAATCTTTCTTGTATGTCATAGGCAGGCTGGTGCAGAGGTTAAAACTGTTGCTTGCCACTGGGGTGTGGTTTTTATACATTTTGTATATAGTACATTTCATGTGTTCCAGTGCTCAGTAACTGGGAACCACTGGGCAACCAGTGCTGGTTCTGCTCCTGTAAATGAGTACAAACAAAACTGTGAATGGCTTTGAGCAGGTTACAACACTTCCTCATCAGTGAGTGGATCTCTGGGACGGCACGATGTCCCATTACTCCTCCGAATGAGGGATCCCTCAGAGTGCAGCATGCCACAGTTGGCACAGGAAGGCCTGAGCCCAGCACATTTAATTAGCCAAGCTGTCTTGGCATTGGATGGGAGGGGGACACACACACAGTGACGAGTCATCAACATCACCAAGGGTGCGGTACTGCTCGCTGCCATACTGCACATCTAAAACTTAATGGCAAAGGGACACATGGGTATCAATACAAACAAAATATGGGAAAACTGGGAAAGATAGAGCGGTAATTGCAAATCGGTTTAACAATGCAGCAAACTTCAGCACAAGCAGTGTCTGACCTTTCCTGCAGAAACATAAAAGGTGTGGCTCCTTCAACATTTAGTGCATTAAACACTTGTGGCAGTGGGAGACAGACCTCACACTCCTTAAGTCTGTACTTATCATTCAAGCCTATAAGCAGCACTGAATGAAAAAAAAAGAAAAAAGAGTGTTGCTATGAAAAAAAAAAGAAAGTTAGGAGAAACAGTTTGGAAGAAACCATTCTGACATCCCTTTTCTCTAGCTCCCTGCATGTGAGGAGCCCACCCCACCTCAGCTGTAGTGAGGAGAGCCCAGTCCAGGCAGCCAGCAACCAGCGCGTCTCTGCCTACCAATAGGCATGCTCCGCTCAGGCTCTGTGCAGTGCTCTCAGTCTCAGCAGCTGAAGCTGGGCGCAGGGGAACTGCAACGGCGGCGCCAAGCATCTTCCCAGGTATGCGTCTCTCTGTTGCTACGCCCTTATTCTGTTTTTGCAGTGTTATGGCATCCTTGCAGCACGCTGGTTCCCGCTTTGCCGACACTGGTAGATTTCTAGGGAGGGGTTGCTTATCCTTTTTTTTTCTTTTTCTATTTTTTGTGTGTGTGGCTCACGTAGCCTTCGTGGTAGCGCAGGGCAGCGGGTCTTGGTAAACACTCGCATCTGCAAAACCTCCTCGTTAACCGCGCGTCAACTTGCACACACCTCAAAATGTTCGCCCTTCGACAGAACAGCGCCGAGCCGCCGCTGGTGCTGGCAGCGAGGCGGGGATGTGCGCTCCCTGCTTTACTGCGTGCATTTCTCGGGGAATTTTTTGCAATGGGGTTATAATTTGGCCAAGCGGCTTTCGTCAAAACATGACCGCTGACTATATATTCAACTCAAGGTGCGTGCAGGTGGAGGATTTTTACCCCCCCCTCCCTCCTCCCTTCCTCTCTCTGGAAGGCGCTGGACTTGCGGCACTGGGTGAAGCAGGTAGCCTACTGGGAGCTGATTTGAAAAATCATTTCATAGCAGTCAATTTTATGTAGGCTGTGCCATATAACGCTGCAGTAGGCTATAGCAGGGCTATAATAGGTCATGCTGTATGCATAATGCACAATGCATCCGTCTATCTATCACAACCTTGATATTTTATTGATAACTGTGTGTTATGATAAAACGGCTCTATTTTAATCATGATTCATTCATACAGTGAGTTATCCAGGGAGAATGATGGTGAGGGAGATGTTTTTTTCCCCGGAGAATCTGATGGACATAGTTATCACAGGGTGCTCTTAATTGCAAACGTGCTGAACTTGTGTTTTGAATGAGTTTGCATAGGCTAAGCAGTTTTTTTTAATGATTAGGCTGATCTGTGGCGCTGTGTTTTCCCTGTCACTAGGTAAGATGTAGGTACACTCCCTTAGCAGTTAGGGTGGTGCTGCCTGCTAGTGCTGATGCGTTACAGTAACCACTACCTGTGCATGCAGTCTTCCAGGCCTGGCTGCACACAGAGGGGTGGTGGTGGCGGGTGGAGGGATGTTCCTGGAGGATTCTTAGGTGGGAGGGTGGTCAGTGAGATTGGATTTATTAAGTTAGAAGTGAATTCATGCACCAGCTTCCAAGTTAAAGTTGTGTTTTTCAGGCAGTGAAGTTATCAACAGACAGTCCTCACATAAAAATTGTTCAATGTTTCCAAAAGCAGAAAAAGGACTTCTCTCGTTATCAGCTAACGAATGACCCTCAGCAGCAACTTTTACATTAGCTGACCTTACTTTTTCATCTTCCTGGCACAAACCTTTCATACCCATTGGTGTATCAGTGATGTTTATGTTAAAAAATATATCTTTGTTGTGATTATTAATCATAGTTTTGTTGTTGCTATGCAAAAAAAAGTCTTGTGCCATATTTCCACTGCAATCATTTGGAGCTGTGACCTTGTCAAAAAAGAGCCACCATGTGTCTAGCTCGCTCTGGTTCTCTCTGATAAAACTCTGTGTTAAAGGAAGCTACTTTTCTATATCAGCCCGTCCTCACGGATCTGGATTTGGCTGATTCAAGAAGCTCTCGAGTTGATTTTTGCTGCATTAACCACACTACCTATTCGCTCCACTTGAAGAGCCAGTAATAGTTGGAGGACTTTTACATCAGAATAGATTTCAGCATGCTGATTTTGAATGTTATTTTGGGCTCTGTTTAGCCTTGTTTAGTCAGTGAAGTTTCAATGACATTAATAAATTGGCTAATCAATTTTCACTCCTGTTGTCCTTGAAAATATGGTCCCATACAGTGTGGTTTAAAGTGGGGATTTCCTGCTGGGCTCTTTGCATCTGGACAGCATTAATTATCCCGCAGGATTTGGGCTGATATGAAGCATTACACTGAATAGTACAGTATAAAATAAGCTCCCACACCAGGGGTAACTCCTAACTGCAAAGTGGACAAAGTTATGGAGGGAAAATGTTAAGGTCACATTAAGGTCAAGAGGAAAAAAGAGGAAAAGAAGAATTTTCCAAATGCTTTGAATGCAGTGATTCTTTATGGAATGCGTGCTGGGTGTCCTACAGTAACATTGCACTAATAAAGTAAAGTTTGGAGCTAAACAAATTATTTTATCATTTAAATTAATGAAAGAAAAAGTAATAGAATAAATACAGGGCTGATACTGACACAATTTAAAAAAACAAAAAAACAATTTGGCATCGTAAACAAGATTTGAAATAAAATGAATGAATGAAACTTACTTTTAGCTGTCACTGACGCTATTTTTTTAAATATTTAATATAAAATGAATGTTACACAACAGATAATACATCAAGTTGACCTTGTTAAATGCCATCTTACTTGTCAGCAAACCAAAACCAATATTAAGCTGATATATCAATCAAGTATATTTAGAATGAATTAAATTATTTTAATGAAAAAAGGCAGAGATTTGCAGGTTTTAGCTTCCCAGATGGATTTTCTGATAGTCTTGGAACAACATGTTTTGGTATTGATAGATTGGGGGGGGGGTGTCAAGGAAATAATAATCAAACTGATTACTTGAGAATGAAATAATATAATGATACAATTTTCTCCCTTAAGCTGTCTTTAACACCTTTTGATGTAAAAGGGTAAAAAAAAGTAAGAGTGAAAAAAACGAAACCTGTACAAAGCTGTAGTGTTTATATGTGGACTTAAATTGATTATCAGCTGATGTTAGATATTTCATGATTTATCAATATCAGCCAAAAAATTTAAATTTAAAAAGTAAAGAGGAGATGAGTGAAGCTACCTTCAACCATGTAAAAAGGGTTGTTCAGCAGAGGGCACTCTAAAGCTTCCCTGTGGCAAAAAATATTTCAAACACCAAAAACACAACAGCCAGCTGACCCAAGCAAAGTGTAAACAAGTGAATAAACAACTTCAAATAAGAAATATTAGGGAAATCTCTGTAGGTTTTGTGTGTCTGCAGAAAGAAAAAAATGTATCAGCTGATTGGAATATACAATTTTTTAATTGCAAAAAATATTGGTGCCAGGATTGGTCTTAAAAAGCCTTTGTTGACTGAGCTCTAATATTTATTGAGAATACTGAGTTGCTTCCAAAAAACAAGAAAGAAAAAAATCTCGGATTGTAAGATTAAAAGATATGCGATGGCCTTTTATGACATAGTCATAATGTTTTGGATAGAAGAAAAGCAGCAATTGTCCTTTTTCTGAGATGAGTCAAGATGCATCACTAATATAAAGAAACTTATTATATCTTATATATGATGAAAATAATATAGTTTTATTAAAAGTTATAAAAAAGTGCATTTTTCTCTCGCACACTGCACAGTTTTCTGATAACGTCCACAGAGACCCTGTAAATGCAGTGTTTGTGCCTTGCAAACTATTATCAGTCAGATGTTACTCTGTCTGCACATCTTTGATTTAGATTAATTCTTTTGTTTTTTACTTTGTTACATGACCTCCACCCTTAATCTATGTTAATATAAACATTAATGGAGCTGCAATTCAGCAGTTTCCAGCACAGAGATAAGCAAAAGTGTTTGGCTATGATCAATTCCTAGATGAGTTGTGTATATAAGTATATTTCAACACCAACATCTTTGATCCAACAGCACACTTGTCCTTTAAGTGACACCTTCATAATGGAAAGTGAGCCACTATTCAAGTCTATGATTTGCCAAAATGCTACTGTGTGCAAAGCCTTTGATCACTCTGTTAATGTTTTATAAGCCATCCGTTGTCATCTGCAGGCAGGACTATGGAAGCCCGTTTCTGCCAAAAAAAAAAAAAAAAAAGGATCCATAACTCGAAATTTCGACTTATTAACTCAAAATTTTGAGAAAATTAACTCGAAATTTGAAATTAGCGCTGCCAATCAGTAATCTACGTGAATGACGTCATTTCCTTGTTACCCGGAAGCTGACGCCCTCAGGTACAAATGCTACAGCTAAGCTACCATTATTACATTCAGTGATGAATGCACAGATTGCTGAGTATTTTCAGCGTGGCTTCAAAAATGATGAAATCCTTGTGTTATTAGCTGAATCACATGGCATTACTATCAGCAAACGTACTTGCGAAAGCGCCAATTTGTTGCGATACGGTTTTGAGTGTGCGTTACTCTGCGCCATGTGCTTCCGGGTAACAAGAAAGTGAGATCATTCACGTAGATTACTGATTGGTAGAGCTAACTCTAAGAAACTCTAAGAAAAGTAACTCGAAATTTGTTTCTCCAAATTTTGAGTTACGTTTTCTTGAAATTTCGAGTTAATAAGTCACAATTTCAAGAAAATAACTCGAAATTTCGAGTTATGGATACTTGTTTTTTGTTTTGTTTTTTAGAGGCAGAAACAAGCTTCCATACAGGACAGACTGTTACAACCACTAATTAATATATCAGACAGGCAGGTGTGGTTGTGCATTCACATGTACACACAAACAAATGAACAAACTAACAGACAATGAAATTTACATTAAATTTGAGCACCAATACATAAGCAGTCTTATTTACTTCCTACTTGTTGCTGTTTGTTTTGAGCTAAAAATAAATAACTGGTTTTGTACTGAAGTACTGTCATGTTAGAATAAGTTTTTAAGACATTTTTAGGACTAAACTCCCCAGTTTCTGCTTTTTTTTCTCTTTTTTTATTTGTCTCGATTTTTCTAACAGAACAAGTAAGTCGAAGACTCACCTTTGTGATTTAGTGTGTGATAATCTAAACACGCCATGTGAAAAATAGCGTCTAAATCATTTAAATGTCATACTCATCATTACTCAGAATATCATGGGAATTTAAATGTTATTCATACTCTATACTATGACACCAGGCTTGAGCCTAATGGGCATTTCTGGCCATTTTCTGACATTTTTCACACTTGTAAATTGTTGATTTACTTAGACGGTAATCATCATTTTACTTGTTAATGAAAATAATCGCCTTTTTATGCTTTATAAAACTCATCAAAGTATTCTGCTTTATAGAAATTAATTAATCACCACAACATTATGAGAGAGTTTTGGAAAACCAGGAAATGTTTTTTTTTTGCTTTTTGTTGCTGATTTGTGACGATGGCTATACCTTTGCATGGTGATCTAGAAAGTTTGGGGCTTGGTTGATTTTTAAGCCAGCAACGTCTTTGTGAGAGAATATATATGAAAAAAAGACAATATGATGTGACCATTGGGGCCTTTTTCTAGGGAAGAGAAATCTAAGATAAATTAAAGAACATACATGATAATAAGAGACTGGAATCAGAGCAGTAAAAGTTAAAACGTTAAAATACTATTTAAAAAAAAAATTTACTTTTTTTTTAACGTTCACATTTTTATTTAAAGTTCACATAATTTTTTTATTGTTGACGCTGCAACTCAGACTTCATCTTTGAACTATAGTTTAAGAGTCAAGACCTAAATCAATTTAATCAAACGCCATTAATGCATCAAACTTTTTTCTGATGCCATTAGGATGTAAGAAATCTGGCAACCTTCACACTGTGTGTGCCTACACACAGCACAGGCATGCGGGAAAGTATATATTGTGTAGATTATTTTATACTGGGTATATAATACCCAGTATTTTCCTTTTTCTGATGGCATATGGGAGTGGTGTGCAGCACTAATAAGTTAGCAAGAAGGCAGATATATGATGCAACAACACTGGTAGTGATTACTTAAGCATATTTGAAACTGACTGATTGTACGGTGAGGTATTTAATCTCTTATAACTTAATATATAAGAATATGTTGCAGTTTCTTTTAAGATAACTGCTTGCTCTGAGTCTCTGGAGAACAATAAGTGCTTCTCATGACTGATGACGAATATTCCACCTAAAACCTGCTTGCTTTGCGGTTATCAAATTTTCCACTGCACTGCTGTCTGACAAAGGGTAGAGAAATCATTATGTAAACAGTGGTTTAATAGGATGAGAACAATTCTCAATTTGGCAATTGTTACATTAGATAATGGTTTCAGGCACTTTGGGAAAGTTGATAAAATGTCATTGGAAAGAACAAGGGGTGTGGCTCATAACACACACTTTCTGGTTTATAGACTTTTTCAGTGTTCAGATAGTGAGCTTTAAATTCACCTTTAAAACTGTGGCTGTACATCCGGGGTTGCCGACAGAAGCAGGATCATGTCTGGGAGAAAAATTCATGTTTAGCTCATGTTTAATTTTAAGAAAAGACTTGTGGAGATGTCAATATAGCATGTGCTGAAGTAGTTTAAACACATTTTGACAAGGAATGCCACCCTTTTTCTTTCTTACGAAAGTGGCTCCTCTCAGATATAGTTGCATGCAGAAATAATCCTCTTCTACCTCTTCCCTTGTCCTCTCTTTAGTGATGGCCTCTGCTGAGCAGCCGTGCTCCAGCTTCCACCAGCAGCACTGCGCATAAGGCAACACACCCACCTTTGCCCTCCTGCCCAGAAGTGAGAGAGACACCACCATGTACAGCGTGGAGGACCTTCTCATTTCGCACGGATATAAATTGCCGAAGAGCGACCCTCCGTCTGCCACGCCTTTTGACAAGCGCCCTGCTGATTGCCAGCGTGAACTTGTGGACAACAGGGCTGGCCGTGGGACGCTGAACGGGTATGAGGCAGACCGGGGGGCATCTATCACTGGCATCTATGGCAGCAGGCAGGCACTGGTGAAGGGCTACCCCAGCATAGACATCGAGAGTGGGGATAGGAACCAAAGGAGAAAAGAAATCGGCATCGGTATCCTAGGTGACACTCAGCCCTTGGGTGATTCTCTTGCTACAGATAGTGGGTGAGTGTTTTTTCCCTCTCTTTTGCAATCCCCCACGCCCTGCACCTTCCCTTTCCCTCTCTTTCCTCCCCCCACTTCTCACTGGGGCCTGTCAGTATTGCATGCAAAACTGAGTCTGCACTGCGCAGGGTTTTTTTCTCCTCCTCTTCCCTTCCTTCCAGAGCTGCAGAACACTGTGGCTGCAGCAGCACTACTGACATATCTTATGCTGGGATATGAGGAATTATGAAAGGTGCCTTTGCAGTCGTTTGAGCTGTGTACATGCCTGCACAGAGATATGGTTTGCATCTCTGTGGAGCCCACCCAGGCACTGGAATCATCTACACAGCCTCCACCCGGCAGGCAGATGTAAACAGCAGCACTAGACAGAGAGCAAACTGAGGAGGACTGAACATGCCTCAAGACAGGCGCGTAATCACTCCACTGTAAACACTGGCACACTGAATCACGCCCAGCACGTGCTCTGTGATGTAAGCATGTTGCTGGGCAAGTGTGCACAGCGCAGCTCCCCTCAGCCATACAGTAGCATATGCTGCTGAGGATGATCCATTGACTTTGCTGCTTAAATGAATGAGTACAATGACTAACAGGGATTTAGTGCACTGCAGATACTGGACGGAGGCTAATTGTTTATTCAGTCTTCTTTTTGTGATGTTACGTTTTAAAAACTATTACACATATTTATAATCAAGCATACATATATATATATATATACATATATATATACAGATGATTCTTTGCATGAAACAGTTTTATAATTACACTGTAGTTAATATGTTTTTCTGAAAGAATTGATGGTTACAATTGAATTTCAACAAGCATTTAAGCCTGCAGTCCCGCCCTCATTATGATCAGCTGTCATCAGGGCGTCTAAGAACGTGCATTTATGTGAGTGATGACCCGGGGAATATTTATTGATGACAATTAATTAACCCTAGAACACTATCGCTATAAATAGTAACACGATCACTAATGCCGGGTGATTTATACCCGGTATAATATAACCAATGAACAGTAATCAAATATATCAAAATATGACAACACATGACAAATTAGAGTGGTCTTCTTTTACTTTCAACTGTGCCATGTCTAACAAAATGAAAAATAAAACTCCTAAAACAAAATAATGACTCTGGAAAGCTGGTCTTTGGTCCACCCATTCCTGGGACATTTGAGACTTCCCTGGTGATGGCACAGGCTCCTCGACATGCAAACAGCTGCAGGAGAGAGAAATCATGTAAATGTATTTTCTCGGGTGTAAATCACCCAGCGATAGTGTTCTAGGGTTAAAAAAAATCATAAAATTCAGTGTAATGGAAAATCCCTCAGTGTACATAGACTTTTTTTTAGATGCGTTGTCATTAAATATATATATATATTGTCAGTAATATATTTGATCTAAAATAATTGTTTTAGCAGCGCAAGCATGCACTACGGCCTTATCCCAAACCCAAGAGGTGATTATGGGACCAGAACTAAATTTATCTCCAGGCAGCAGTGCTTTATCACACTGTACTGGAACCACTGTTGTGAACCTGCCAACAGTAACTCGTCACACAGTTGCCATTTCATATTAGTTTCATCAAGCGTTTTTAAAATTATACAAATGATTTTGGTTGGATGATTGTTGTTCATGCATACTTACATGAGAAACAATTAAAAAAGGCTCTTTTTCTAGTTTACTCTTTCACTTTGGGTGTAACACAGTAATGCAGGTTTAAAGTTTATTGTATTTTTGGTTTAAAGGTTTTTATATGTACTGTAGGCTAAAATGGTTCCTAAAGTATGTGATAAAATAATGAGAGGGACAGAGCCACTTTCTCTTTTGCGTCAGATTTCTTTTTTAAAAGAGTGGTATTTGCCATCCAGATGACCAGTTTCCAAGATAAGGTCAGCACAATTTAATATGCAGATCATATTGCAGTAGCATTGCAATTTTGTGGTGTCTTCAGGGGACTTTGGAGCTGCTGACTTAAGCATTTCTGGCTCATATGTGCTGGCTCTCTTTGATTAGGTTGTTTGGAACACCTATACTGGCAAAGCAAAAGCACATGTCTGGGACTGGCATGGGCATGCCTCTTTTAATATTTACCAGTGATCACATTTCAAGTGGATGGAATTGTTTTAATCTATTATCAAATAGACTGAGATAATACAATATTGTGAAATATGTTTTAGGTATTAACTCCTTTCATTCTAGATCATTTTTTCTTTGTCTGTATGTCGCAGCCTGATGGTTCTGATGCTGTTTAGCCGCAACTCATTTAATAACCTCTGTAATGAAAGAAACACTGTTAAAAGATTAGATTGTTTTATTAACACTGAGATTTTTTCTTTTATAGGTTCTACGATGTTCCCAGTTTGACTTATTCAGAGCCGCTGAGCCATGACGATAGGGATGTTTCCTACTGGCGGAGGCGAGGTCAGGACTTCAGCATCCTTCTGGACTATGCTGATGGCAGGGAGCTGAGGGCCTCTGCTGGAGCGTGGAGGCCACAGGCCCTGATCACAGCAGAGGAATACAGGGCAGAGAGGCAAGCGCAGCAGCTATGGGAGGACATTTCCTGGCTAAGGGACCCAGATGCAGGACCTGGTCAGTTGAGAGTGACTGGGGAGAGGAAGTGCCAGAGCCTTGGAACAGAGGAATGGAGGCCTGCTGTGGGCCTGGGAAGGCAGCTGTCAGATGGGGATGGGGAACGGTGGGCTCAGGACCACTACTACCGACTGAGGACACCGGAGGGTTTTTTTCACCCTAGAACTAAAGCAAAGTCTCAGTCTCTTCCCAGAGTTTTGTCACCTGATGGACGTGACAGCAGAGAGCTCATTCCATCAAGGCCTAGTCTACCTGATAGACAGAGGATAAGCAGCACTGTCTTCTCTGGGCCATACAGTAGGTACATCTATGGTGGCGGCCGGGACCGGTGGGGTAGGAGTATTGGGCCAAGCAGCCATGTTGCACTTTTACCAAAGCCCAGGTTCAGCAGGCCTTTAAAGCCTCCATCATACGAGATTCACCAGCAGACTAGGGGTAGCGCAGAAATGCTTGCTATTGACCAGGGTGTCAAACAAAAAGACAGGCCTATCTATTATCCAAGGGGTGGGGACCTAAGACAAGACTATTTCGCACAACACTCTGCCATCACTGGAATGGAGCCTCCTGGCTACATCCCACCCCCATCTTATAGAAGAGCCCTACCCCCAAGAGCAGTTTCAGTTAACCGCAATGAAATGGCAAACTTAAGATGGAGGGCAGAAGCTTTGCAGATGCCAAGCTCAGATCCCGGAAGGTGGTTTTACAGACAGGCAAGTAGTTCCTGGCTGGAACCTTATGGAGAACGTAGTGCGTCCTATCGAAAACAGGTACTTTCTTCTGGACATGAAGAACAACCAGGTCATGCCCGACAGTTACCCACTGAAGACTCAAGAGCAAAACAAATCTCAGGAGGGCCTGGCGGAAATTCTCTAACAGATATAGACAAGATGCGCAACATCAACAAAGAGATTCCGTCCGCTAAGATTTTAGGACAATCTACACATGATAGTGCCTTTCCTCCCCAACAGGGGCCAGCTCTCAATACCGAAACCCGAAAAACAGCTCCCGGTGACAGCGACAGCAGTAATCGATGGCCCAACAGGGGAATAAAAAAAAGTGACAGTGTAGCTTCTGAGCAAACCCGTACTCCATTTTTACCTTCATCCATTCTGGGTAAACCACCGCCACCTCCATGTAAGCCGGCTGACCAGGGTGTATCTGAAACTGTGACAGAAGTAAAAAAGGCAGAGCAACCTGAACCACCGGAGAAAGACAAAACCAAGAATCTTAAAAAGAGGCTTAGTGAAACAATTTTTTGTTTGGTGTCTGTCCCTGTTACTCCGCAGCTCACTGGGACAATTCGTGATCAGAATAATAACAACGAGAAGTCGCCAGACCCAGCTGACAGTCCCAGTGGCAACAAAACTGGCCATTTAACAAACCAAAGTCTCCAAAGCACATCTTCAGCTGAAGCTGAGCTGCAAGCACTAACTGGTAGCATAGCGAGCAGCAAAACGAGCAGTAGAGCAAGCAGCAAAATGTTTAAAAAACTACCCTGTAGACCCCCTAAAATAAATCATTACAAGGAGCTGAAGCTGTCAGGATCCTGGCCTGCAAACCAGTATCGAGACCAGGAGACACAAACTAGCCCAGAGGCCCGAAAAGCTGGCCCTGAAAACAAGGAAGCACAACAAGACCCTGTTCCTCCTGGCACCGAAGTAACCCCTGATAGCGGCGGAGTAGTGGGCACTGCCTTCAGTTTTCCCATAAAGGGAGTGAAGAGCCTAAAACTTTCAAGCAACAGCGCCTTCTCCCTGACCTCCACCTTCTCCAACCAGCTGAACAAGAGCACAGCTCAGCAGCCAGCAGTACCACCCTCAGGAAATGTGGAGGAGATCAAACCAGCAGCAAACACAGGACAGGAGAAATTTGAACCGTTCCTTTTGAAACCGGCCACCCAGCGACCATGGGATGCAGTCAAAGAGCTGGAGACCATTAAAAAAGAAGTCCAGGATCAGCAGCAGCAACAGAGCAGCAAACAGCCCAGTGTTGACAAGTGCATTGAGGACCTTAACGAGGCCTACAAAGACATCTTGGAGCTAGGTACTGCCAGCAATAAAGTCCCAAACGGTTCCGTCCAGATTCCTGAGCGTATCAAAATCCGACTGACATCAGAACCTCTCAACAAGCCCAGCAGCCTTAGGCGCAGTGCAGTAAGCTGGTCTGTTGACCCAGAATACAGGGAAGTGAAGAGCGCCTTCTCCAGGCCTGCAACAAAGTCGGTAACCTTCAGCAAGCAGCTTAGGGAGGAGCTCCCGGTGCCACCTCGGGAGACGGGCTTCAGAGAATACAGGGTTGTTGCGCATCTTTCACGCAGAAGGAGCAACGATGGCAGGACAGTAAAATTAGACCTGCCAGATGAACCTATCGAAACACCTCTTTGTGACTTTAGTCCAACAACGCACACCACAGCAGCTGAGGTGCCATGGGCAGACAGACAGCCCATGCAGGATGCCTCTACACTCACTAGTCCTCCAGATTATGAAGACATATGCCAGACTTTGCGTCAGTCTAGAGACCCATCGGATGCCAGTAAAGCATCCGCAGGCCATTCCAGACCTAATGACACAGAGACTCTTCAAGATCTCAGTGCTGAATCAGAGGAGGAGTGTCCTATTTGTAAACGAGAGCTTGAGAATCAGATGAGACAGGGTCCATTGCCTCCACTTCACGAGGAGAACAGCTCAGACAGCTCGGCCAATCAAAATGGCAGTCCGCCACAATGCACTGCATTAGAAAGTCCAGCAGAAGATACAAAAATAGAGGAGCCAAATGCATCATGTTCAAATCAGTCAGGGTCTGAAGTGTGTGCTGAAAAAACAGAGCAGCATTCACTGACACAGGAGAATGTGGGAGAGGGTGAAAAAACAGACAATGCTCAGGCAGAAAACTTGGACAATTTATGCATAGTTAATCCTGCTGAGAGCATACCAGTGGATGGAGCCACAGAGGATCTCTCCTCTGCAGCCACAGTATTAGCAGCTGATCAGCCTACAGACCCCCAAGTCACAGAGGAACAGAGTGTTAATGAAACAGCAACTGAGGAAGAAAAATCAGAAGATAAAGAAGCCACTGCAGGAGAAACACCTGAAGGCAGTGCAGGCAAACAGACAGCTGAAGTGAAAACTGAGGAACAAGACAATGCAACGCCAGTTGACAAGCAGGAGCAAGAGAAGAAGCCATTTGCTCTCCCAGAGCATAGACTTGGTCTACGGACTCATCTAGGGCGAGACCTCCCTGGGTTACCTGAGTTTCCGCCTGATAGACTGCCACTTTCCGTTCCCCCGAACCTAGACCGCAGACTATCTCTTAGCTTGGAGGGTGAGCGGAGGAGCAAGGGCCCCTCACAGCGAATTGAAGCATTGCAGAACAAACTGGCTATTTCTCCAGGTCGGGTGGCAGTTGAGCGACTCGCCCGGATGAGAGATGTGGATGTTATGTATCGTGTGAGGCGCTTAAGCATCAGGAGTACTGACTCTGGGGAAGGGGAGACAGAGGCAGAAGGGGAGGGCAAGGAAGAACAAGCAGAGGAGTTCGACCCTGCTCCTCATATGGACAAAGACAACGAGCAAGAGGTCCCCAACTCACAGGAGAGCCCCGAGACAGTGTTGCAAGATGAACAGGAGTCACCTCTCTCAGGTAATTATTGCCTATAATGGCATAGAAGTGAAGCCTGGTGGATGTAAAGATGATAAGAGAGTTTACTTTTTTTTTTTATGCGGTTTTGTCATTTTTCCTGATTTTGGAGCTTGAAAACCTTTGCCCAATTAGACAATTTTGATTCATAAGATAATGGATTTTTGCTAAAAAAAATACTCCTTTGTGAATAAATATCTTTCTTCCTCATGTCCCAGAACCCCAATGATCCCAGCCGAGGGGAGACAGTGTAGAAAGACTGCGTCCACCATCTCCATCTGAGGTTTTTAGCTCCAACACTGTGACCTGGCTGCCTACTAGAATGCCTTCATCTCATCTTGACACTGAAATTGCCTTCTTGTCCGACAAGAGCATTGTGTACACCCTCACCCTCGGCGCTGCGTTGACTACTAAGAGTGCTGTTCCACTGCCAAAGGGAGGTGCCTCTTTAACTTGTGGGGCAACTTCCACCCAGAATCCCACCCCAGCCTTCCCAAACTGACTACCCACTACCCCATCGGTCCTCCATCCCCAACCCCATCCTCTTATAGGGTTTCTACTAGTTAGTCTTGTAGCGGCTTGTCCTTTCTATTCTATCCTCCCTATGCTTTTCTCATTGGCAGACATTATGCAATTCTGTCGTGCATACTAGAATTTCTGAAAATGTCCGCAGCGAAAACATTTTTCGCATACCTGAACGTTTCTGTTTGTTTACGGGCGAGTTGTTGAGGATTATGAATGTAAGTGTTTATGTTTAACCTAATGTAGACATAGAGGGGTTTATTGTCACAAACATGTTCTGTTGCATTTAAACTACACCAAAATAACCTGCGTATTTGATTGTGGTAAGGCGACAGCTGTTTTAGAACTGGACATCACTGTCTTTGGCTAAAGAACTGTTTTGATTTTCAGATGAGATAAATCAGCCTTTCTTTTTAAAAAAACAAAAAAAAACAACTGAATGACATTGTGCCCTTTCTCATTGCTTTTGTACACACTGCAACCATAACTCTGCAACCATAGCTCTTCAGTGAAGAGTGACTCTATACCACATGGCATGACAGATCAGTAAACTATAAGATAACATTGGCCCTACTTTAGAGGGGGAGAGTTGCCTTTCTTAACTAGATGTGCGATTCCTGGTTGGATAAGGTGAAGTCTCTGATTAGTCCCCTGATCAAGTTCAATCTATAGCTCCCATTTCCAGGTAATTTCAGGAAGCAATAAGGGCACAGATTGAGTTTAAATGATGGTTTAAGCAACCTTGATAAACATTAAAGATCGATATAGGAATTTAGAACAACAACAAGAAAAAAAAAAAGATATGTAGAGCAATATTGTAAAAACAGGTCAGTGGTGTAGTGGAGCCACCTGTAGGAACCATTGTCAGGAGTCTTAAGTGTGAACGTGTCATTGAGATCATATTACAGGGAAATGGATTCGTGTCAGGGTATAGGGGCGCTTAACAGGGGGTGGGTGCTTTACTTCATGATATATATATAGATATAGATATATCTATTTATATATCTATGTTCATACATCTGTTTCGCAAAGAGGCGACATTTCACGGAATATTTATTTTTGTTATCATCAAATTGTTAATCAGTTTGCATAATGTACAAAATAAAGTATATTTTAAATATTTTAAGAGAAATTTTGTATTTAACCATGACATTTTATTTCTCCACACCTATAACAAGCTGAAAGTATCATACAAGTGTATAGTATCATATTGAGAGTATACATAATTTTCTAGTGCTTTAAAATCTTAACAGAGCGGTATAAGGAGGGATGGCCCTGTGGTGTGCCTTGATCACACGATTTTGGTTTGAGTGAGCAAAAGGGTTCATCACTGCAGGAGTTAAACCTGATGGAAACTTTCTGATTGTGCCATGATTTCCTGTTTGATAGTGCTCTTTCACATGCTAACAGAGTCAGTGTTGGACGCTCCTTGTGATATTTGACACATCAATCCATCTCAGCTGTACGTTGGTGGTCAGACATGGCCTGTGTCTTATTTCTGTCTTTGTATGTCTTCCAGTTTGAATCATGTATCGTTCTGTTGTTGGTTCCACAAAAAAAAAAACATGTTTAGAAATAAAATTGGGAATTTTTTTCTTTTCCTTCCTTCCTCCCACCCTTCCTTCGTTTCCTCTTCCTTCTAACCGCCTCCTTTCTTCCTCCGTTTCTTTCATCTCACGGCGTGTTCATTTTGTGTAAATTGTTGTGCTGTCACTAACGCTTATTGCACTAAAAGATGCAATGTAGGATGCAATTTTAGGCTAAAAACCACATATCTGCATAATGTTTCTTTAAAATAAATTTTAAATTATGAGTCTAAAGCTAAACGATGATTGAAAAAATTGCCTTTTGGATTAAAACAAGTTTGCAGGTACGTGGGTTTTCTTTGTTTTCATAAAAGGACTGTTTCACTGGTGTAACATATTTAAGAGATCTGTAGGAATCCATCACTGTTTAACCATCAACTTACTGTTATGTAGCATTTTGCAGTTGTAGCATTTTTATCAACTCAGACCTTTGTCTTGGTATTTCAAACATTTCATGTAAATCTGAAATAATCATGTCGCCTTATGATGTGTGCATTACATTACACTCCAGGAAATGCCAAATATTAACGTACTAAGCACTGTTTCATACCTTAGGTTTGTACCAACAACTTACTGTTCTGCCATCCCTCTGGCTGGAGAGGTACAGTAGCATTGCGGATCGTTTCTGCTCTTCATGCTGTTTATCTGTAGGAACATTGAGTCCAAAACTGTGAACTTCAAACAATACAAAAAGCATAATTTATTATAAGTACGAGAGGAGGGTCAGTGCTTCAAGACAAGCTCATAGTCAGCATCACAGGGAGGACAAGCTGGCACGCCCATAATTACTAACACATCTCATTTTCAATTCATTCTGAAGACTAAAGGGCCTCGCCTTAGTCTGGTGTATAAACTGCCCCTGACGACATTTAAATAGCTATTTCAGTACATACGCCCCCCCTCCCCCAATAATTGGCATGTCAGGTACACTTGAACATAGTGTCGTTTGACTTTTTGTACTGCAGGTTATGTGCAACATGAAGTAATTATGCACACTTGTAATATTTTCTATTTTCATATGAGATTTAAGTGCTTTTTGTACTCACTGACATCTTTTTTTTCTTCCTTGCATGAAATGCAAGAGAGAGGAGGAAAAAAAAATGTTTTTCATAAAGTATATTTGCATTTGGTACTCCAATAGTAAAACCAGTGGGCAAAACATTATGTTTCATAATTTAATTTACAAAACTATGCCAAGTATTTAAAAGCTATTTTTAGAGTAAATCAAAAGAGAACTCATTCATTTTTTTTCTTTTAAGACATGCCTTTATCTTTGTATCTATAAATATGAGCATAATCCATAGTCATATGATTGTGCTACTGTTGTATGATACTGCAGTCTGATTCATAAATAAACTCTTTGCATGAAAATGGTGTTTGTGACAGTTGCTGTTGTCTGTATGTATGCAATTTTTATTTTTTTTATTTTTTTTTTAGAAATGTGCACTTATATCACATATGCGCCAGGACATGAGCAAAGATAATAAGGGGTGCATATGTATGAAATACAATATATGATAAAGGCTTTTATATTACAAACGAAACCAGTTATGTATATAAAAGCAGAACCAGTTACAGTTACCATTACTCTGATATCATGTTGGTTTTCGGAAAAAGTTTTTACATTGGCGGCCCCTTTACAGGTTCATCTCTGGAGCTAAATTATACATCTGAAAAGTGATCTGAGAAAATGAAAATTGTGTGTTGGTGATGCTGCCATACAGGCTTTGTATACATTGTTTTAGAGCTTGCACATGAGGCATCTGATCTCAGCTGCTGACACTGTCCCGCAATATGAAAAACGAGAGAAAATCAGTACAAGTAACTGGGCTCCTCGAGTGGGTAAGTCATTATTATGGAAATGTTTCATTTTCAAAGAGCTGACTTTTATTCTTTGAGCAATGCTAAGGCAATGGAAAGCAAGCATACGTGTATAAGCACAAATATGCGAGTGTTTTCACACATGTTCACTTGTGTGCTGGCAATTTCAGCCCAATTACCGTGCCAGACTGTCACACTGAGCTCCACTTGCTGGATCAAAGCGTTGGCAAAGACAATACTTGAGCTGAACCTTGTAAAAACCTCCCAGCATGCTCTCTGGGAGACTTGGAGGGCATCCATCCTCTTCAATTTCCTCTGTGTGCCATCTTTTTTTTCTAAGATGAGAGTGAAAAGTCAGATTACTGCTTCCTCTTATATGATACTTTATTGATCCCAATATAGGTAGGCTGTCTTTTCATTACGCTGTGGGTGTTTTTTGTTCATGGGCACAGCGTACAAAGGCACTGCAGCGTTGTTTCTTAAGCTCCATGCAGCTTCTGACAGTTACCATATTTGGAGTGCAAGCTAAATTACAAGGATCAGCTGCGACATTAAAAACACTGACAGATGAAAGTGTTTTGACACCAGGAGGGTGACCTCCACTATATTAGCCAGTATAATGGTTACTTACACAGTATAGCTGTATAGTATTTTTTTATATACTTTACTCTGGATGTGGCCATAAATAATAAACCAGTAAAAGGTTTTATTTCAGTCCTGTTTCACACTTTCAAGAGTTCCCAGTCTTTAATGGTAAAATGCCATAGTTACAGAAAGCTAATTAAAGTTTAGTCAGCTTTCTCTGGACATTTAAACTGGAATTTTGGACTTTTTTAAGAAAAGGTTTGTCGTGGTCTTACCTTTGTTTCTTACTATGACTCTGAACATTTTCTCTGGTGCTCGTTTTTAACTGAAAGTTGTCTCAAAGACTGAGGTGGTACTTTTCCCAGTGTTGAACTTTCAAAATGGCCGCCTGTAACCTTGATAAGAGCTAGCTCAGGTAAATATATAAAAAAAATTATACCTGCACGCCTTCAGTTAAACGAAACTGTTGATTGTTGTACATTAGGGGCTAATACACTGCTACTTAATTAAATTATAAAGTCTGTACTACTAGAATAGTGTTTCCTTATATAGTTATATGATGCTAATTCAGTAGCTAAAATATTTTGACTGCTACTGTGCAGTGCTGTCTCTACCTTTATTATTAAGAGCCTAGAAAAACAATAGGTCACTAATATATACTCTATATATACTATATATATAGAGTATATATAGAGTATACACACACACACACACACACACACATCTAGCTTCTGTGTCTTGTATGGATTGACAGCATGGACAATGAACCTGAATATTGAAGCAAATCTAATTCAGAATGGCTTCAAACAAAGATAATCTGTCTTTTGAAGCGTCCAAAACCTTAATCCAATAGAATGACGTTAAGATGTGCATTTACACTGAATACAGCTGAGATGAAGGATATCTGCAAAGAAGGATGATCTGAAACTTCCCCTGAATGCTGTTCACATTGGATCCAAAGCTACCAGTTGAGATTACTGCTGTCCAGTCAGGTGATGTACAAACTGTTGGTAAATGCTGGGGATTTGTAATGGTTGTGATTAGAATTATTTTTGTCTGTAACTCTCACTTAATCACCAAATAATGCAAACAGCAAGGTTATTCCAAATCTTCATCCACTTCCCCATTGTATCAAGGAAAGCATCACTTCTCTTTTGTCTTTTTGTGTACTTGGGATTCTTTGAATGAAACAGTCTGGCTTTGTTCTGCAGACCTCCCTGCCATGCATCTCCAGCTGTCCCTCCATCACAGCTGCCTCAGCCTCTGAGTCAGTCCAGTTCTCAGTAAGTTGCCTACATATCTGTCATTACTGTACACCTGTCAAGCCTGCTTGCCTGTGCTGGATGTGGAATAAGTAAGTCCATTAATGCCACAGTGACAGTTGCCCTCATTTTCTGCCACCCTTCAGCCTGTCCACATAAACTTCCTGACTGTAAACAGGATTTTTCTGCATGCAAAAAGCTTCCCATGAACACAATTGTAATAAAATGATTTCTTAACTAGTTTTTTTTTTAATTTTAGGGTCATTTTCTCAACTGGAAAATATGTTTTGGTTTACCAAGGCCACAAAATAACAGACAAATGGAAAGAT